CTCTTCCTCCTCCTCCTCCTCCATCTCCTCCTCCCCCTTGTCAATTGCGCCCTATTTTCCCGCTGTCGCCGTTGTCCTCCTTCCCTGTGCGTCAAGAAATCGATTCAATGCATGTTCCACGTTATAAGATTCAACGTGCATTGAATCCTCGTTGAATTCCGTTGAAAAGCCCGTTAAACAGATTACAACAGGACCCACGATGATTTTTTTCCCGAGCTAAAACTACTGAAAAAAAAGAGTCTAGGTTGTAGACCTTTTTGAGCTGTACAACCTCATATTTTTATTTTTGTTTTTTTAACTTGTACTATATTTTTAGAAAACCAAAAACATAAAGACAATGAAAAAAAAAAAAAAAAAATAGATGAAATTATTTTTTTTCTTTTTTTGTTACACACTAGGGAGATATCCCGGGCGCCCGGGTCCTGATGCCACGCCCGGATTGACAACCGGGTGACCAGCCGGGCATGGCCCCGGGCTGTCCTTGCGCAAAAAATAAAAATAAAATAAAAAAGATCAAATCCAAAAAAATCTGAAAAAAAATACGTTGTGTAGAATTGCAATACAAACAACTTTTGGATAAGTGTCACATCAGAGTTCGCCACAGAACTAAAGATAAAAAAGAAAACAACCATATCACACTAACGCACCCCCCTGTTAACCCCTGTCGCCCCTTTAAAATTCATTTACACTCCCCTTTTCCCCCCTTGACAGCCAACACTAAAAAAAAGAAAAGCGCCCGGATTTGGGCTCCTCTCGGAGAGCGCGGAAAAACCCCACCGCCTTTTTTTTTTTTTTTTTTTGCCATGACCGGGTCACCCGGGCGTCACTGGCCGGTCATGAAAATCTTCCTAGGTTACACAAAGATATTTTTAGGGCGGAAAAAAAAAAACAGAAAAACAAGCTAAAAATATAGGGTTATAGACATTTCAAAGATGTACAACAATTTTTATACTGCATTTGACTCGGGGACGCAGCCATTTGGGTAGCATGATTTATGTTCTAGACAGTAAGCTTGACAAAGACCTTTTTTTTTTTTTTTCATTTTATAAAGTCCATGGTGTTGTAGAGGTCAGTCACTGAGTACACAGTGGTTATATGAAGTGGGGGATGGACAACCTTTTGGATGGTTGTGTCTTAAGTCAACATTGTCCCACACACCACACGCAACTCACTCAGAGACTGGAAGGATCCAATTGACTATCTCAGTTGGTTGGCATCAAGAGTGCCATAGGCAGGGATTGAACCCCCAACCTCCTGAATGCCACTTGTGTGCCTAACCAATTGAGCTAGGGTGCTGGACGGAGCCCAGATTCTTGGATCACAAGAGGGGGGGGGAAAAAAAAACAACCTGAAAAACGAATAGCGTTGCCAAGCTCTTGAGGGCTATACCGCCCCACACGCGGTCAGGAAAAAGGGCATTTCAAGCTCTAAACTACTAGCAGTGTATCTAGCAGTGTATCTACCTATGTTCTACCACATTTTTCATGATCATTTTGCACATTTGGTCGAAGTGGAGTCCATAACTCTCCTGACAAAGTTAAGTACATTTTTTTTAATTTTTCTTTTCTTAGTAAGCCCTGCCAACAAGGCAGGGCAGTCCGTTCTAGATTTTGTTACTTGGTAACAAACAAGAAAATGCTTTGATACTGTATTTATAGGAAGATGTAGTAGAAAAGAAGAAAAAAAACAAAACAGCCTGAAATTGTCCGCCTAAACCCATATCACCCGCCCTCAGTTTTTAACGGGAAAAAAACTTTATCCCTCAAAAGGGAAACAATGGACGGCGCACTATACTAAGTTGCAACGACCTTGACGAGATAACCTGTCCTACGACCGGTCTTAGGGACGACTGCGATCGGACTATATTTTTTTGTTGTCGGAGACCCCAAATGAACTTGTCCTAGCGACGCTGTACTGCACGACCTTACCGAAAATAGAAAGAACATGAAACGACAAAAATGGAATCCACACAAGCGTAGCCACCTGACTGCGAACGTTTTTTTTTTTTTTTTTAACTTCATGTATTTAAAAACAAACAAACAAACATAAAAGCAATTAAGAAAAGGAAAAACAGACACGCACGCACACACAGAGACACAACATACACAAACACACATAAACACACTCATGCACAGTGTCACACACATGCACACACACACACACACACGCCAACAATCATGCGGACACACACACACACACTTACAAACACGGACATACACAAACACACACGCATACATACATATTCTACACAAACATACTCTCACACGCAGGCACACACATACACACATATGGGCACACACAACACACTTTCACACACATAACTAGGGCCTTCGGGGTTGGGGGATGTCGGGGCGGATGACTTAGTCTAAGAGGGTTTCTGGGTAGGTTCGAGGACTGGTGCCGGGGGGTTGGTGAGTGGCGGGTGGGTGGCAGGCCGGTCGGTGTTGGTCTAATTCAGTGGTATAAGAGATGTTTCAGGGGTTGGGGGAATTTATTTATTTATTTATTTATTTTTTTATTTTTTTTTGCCTAGGCCACGTGTTCGGAAAGCCGAAGGAGATTTTTCGAAAAACAATTCTAGTTGTTGGAAAGGTTGGGTTAAGTTTTTATTCGAAGGGTTCGCGGATATGAGACCAGGAGTCCATTCGAGGAGCTTGGGACACGTTTTCTCACTCCCGACAGATAATAAATGGTGTTTACTGAAACGACAAGAACGGTGAGCTTCTAGATCGGCCCCACATATCTCTCGGATTTTCGATAGGTTTCGAGATCGGCTCAGCAAATCTCCCTGACTTCGATTGCGGACACTTCGGCCCCGACCTCCTGCAAGACCTATGAAATAATGACGTGACATCTTTGTCTTCTTTTTCGCTCCATGCCATGTTTTCACCCATGCCTCCCGCCACTATCTTGCCACCTTTGCTTTATTGCATATTTCCCTTACTTTGCCAACCATGTCATTATGCTTTCCTGCTGGCTTTCGCAGGTTGGATCTTTTGATCCTACTACCTCCTGCTCTTGTATCTCGATCTTCGACCACGGTTCCTCTTTCCGCCACCTGCTATGACCCTGCAATCTAGCTCTTCAGTCCTCTCTTTCCCGCCTCCTCTCTCTCTCTCTCTCTCTCTCTCTCTCTCTCTCTCTCTCTCTCTCTCTCTCTCTCTCTCTCTCTCTCTCTCTCTCTCTCTCTCTTTCTTCTGGTAACTTGGATTGAAGCACCAAGGGCGCCAGGGCAATACGGCGGGGTCTTTCTGTATTTAAGTACTGTGTAGCTTTTTAACGGAGAACGAGGGAATTAAACTTCCATTGAATCCCGTTAAATTCAAAAAAATCCCGTTGAATTCGCGTTAAACACGAAAATGGGCCGCTCCCGCCCTTTTTGGAAAAACGGAATCGATGCGCGGGGGCCGGAACACGTGGCCCTATGCAAAAAAAACAAAAAACAAAAAAAAACAACAACCCCTTAAGCATCTCCCATCCGCCCCCACAGCCCTCAACCCCCAACGCCCCAGTTATGTGTGTAAAGGTGTGCTGTGTGTGCGCGTATGTGTGTATGTGTGTGTATGCGCGTGCGTTTGTGTATGTGTGTGTTTGTAAGTGTGTGTGTGTGTGTGTGTGTGTGTGTGTGTGTGCATGATTGTTGGCGTGTGTTCATTGTTTCCCTTTTGAGGGATATAGTTTTTTCCCATTGAAAACTGAGGGCGGGCGATATGGGTTTGGGCGGGCGATTTGGGTCTGTGTTTTCTTTTTTTTTCTCTTCTACTGCATCTTCCCAGAAATACAGTATCCACGCATTCTGTTGTTTGTTACCAAGTAACGAAATCTAGAGCGGACTGCCATGCCTCGTTGGCAGGGCTTGCTAAGAAAAGAAAAGAAAAAGAAAACGTACTAACCTTTGCCATGAATCTGGTAGAACATAGGTAGATACACTGTCGGTAGTTTAGACCTTGAAATGTCCATTTTCCTGGCCGCGTGTAGAGCGGCACAGCCTTCAGTAGCTTGCTAATTGTTTTTCAACTGTTTTTTTCTTTTTCTTTTTTTCCCTCTTGCGATCCAAGAATCTGGGCTCCGTCCAGCGGCCTAGCTCAGTTGATTAGGCACGCAAGTGGCATTCAGGAGGTTGTGGGTTCAATCCCCGCCTATGGCACTCTCGATGCCAACCAACTGAGATAAACAGCAGGATAGTCTGTATCAGTAAGGTCTTCAGCCAATACGACCGGGAGGCACCTCCTGTCCCTACTATCATCACCATCATCATGTTCATCATCATCATTGTCACCACATCAGGGACGCTGAGCTTGGTTCTCAGCAAGTTCGGTTCGGTTTTTCCAGGCAGACTGTGAGGACCCTGGCCTCATTCCTCTTATTGGTAATATTAGCCTTGGGCAATGGGCCCCTTTAAAAAAAAAAAAAAAAAAAAAAAGATGGAGGCAAAAAAAAACAACGCCTGCAGGGAGATTAGTACGGCGAACTGGGAGAAGGTTGAGAAAGTCGATAAATTTCCTAGAGATGGAGAGACCGGTCGAAACGGTGAGGGAGGCGACAATAGAAAGAGAGATCAGGTGACTATGGCGGGCGAGGCACCAGCGCCCCAACAACAAGCGATCGGGAGGCAGCGGGTGGAAGTAAATCCGCTCGACACAGGATTGTTGCGCATGGATCTAGATAATGTGAGGAAAGCATAAGAAGCTCACTCCTTACTATTCCAAGAGATGTTGTCCTGCCTAAAGACTATCAAAGATCAGGGGGTTGCTCCTCTCACCCCTCCATCTGTTCTTGCTAACCCCATGCAATTTCCTCCCCCTCCTCCTCCTCCCCCCCTCCTCCTCCTCCTCCTCCTCCTCCTCCTCCTCCGTGCCAACAGTCTGGATCTTATCACCAGCCTTCCAATCCGCCATTTGTGGCACCTACACAGGCTCCCCCAACCCCTTCACCTTCAAGGCTGCACCACCTACTAGAATTGTGCCTCAGGCTCCTGTCTCGCCCAGAGCTACTGACCTTGGACCCTCAAGGTTTCGAAGAAATCTCATGGCTACTCCTACCGGTAATGGCTTATCCACATGGCTCGCTGGCATGTTCGCCTCCGTGGCTGGGAATGGTCCGAGACGGCGCTCCTCGGGGATCTCAATTAGTGAAGGGGGGAGTTCCTCAGCGGCGTCAGCACCCATGTGCAATGAAGACGAGTCGCAGGATTTGGGGTTTGATAGGATCAACCAGGGCAAGAAAGCTATTGTGGGAGGTCCGGGCAAGGAAGGGCATAAAAAGTACATTCAATTTGAGGATCTGATCGAAGAACTTATGGCGAAGACTAAGCATGAGCTTGAAGAGCTGTGCAAGAAGGACCGCATCAAGTACGTAAACAAGAAGATTACCACGGCTGCGCTGGCCCGACTACTCGCCATCGAAGCTTATGGCGAAGAGGATGTTGATGATGTCGAGTCTGAGGAGGAATCTCAAGAGGAAAATCCCACTTGATGTCGAGTCTGAGGCGTAAATTGATCTCCTTATGAAATCAGCGAAGTAAAGAAGGGTGGCAGGGCCGGAAAACTATGAGAACTAATGTGATCATGCGTTTCCTTGTTTTGATGTTAGCTTGCTATGGGAATTTGAAGTGGGATGATAAATTTGTGAGTAGTTGGGGTGATTCCTTAAGTAAAGGGTTTGGCTTGTGTGCATGGGATGGTCCTTGTGTTTATGTGCTGATATCACCATGGCTTAAACTTTAAGGCCACTTACATTGGATCTACTACTCGGTCTATAAATGTGCGATGGGACGAATACGTCAGACGGTGTTTTCAGTGTAATCACGGGAGGAATCATAAGGTTAGACGGTGGTTCCAACGGAAAGGTTGGTCTAGTTATGTTGCTATTCAAATTGTCTTCCCACAGTCCATTGAAATTCGAGATGTTGAAGTTTCCTTGATATCTAGATAGTCCCCATCACTTAATTGTGTCAAAAAGAAGAGAACCTGGCGATGCAAGGGAAGGAGGGAGCGTTGGGCATTTCGACGCCGAGATAGGTTAGATTCCATAGCTAGGAAGCTGGATGATAAGCCTGTCCTCTGGAATATGGCCTCCATCTCTTTACCTATTCGAGTCTCATGGGACGATAACTTCCTATCTTTCTCCGTGACGAAGATACTGGGTAAGCTTGTGGATGACGGTATCCTACACGTCAATCTAACGACAATTTTGTCAAAACATACATATTATATTTTTTGAACGAAATTGAAATTGAGTTTTTGGGTCAAAATCCGGTCCAAATTTTGGCTTCGGGGGGTCCAGCGTTCCTGGACCCCCTAGACATATGTGACCTCAAGCAGAGACCAGATACATCTAGGGGGTCCGACGTTCTAGGAATGTCGGATCCCCAGGAGCTAAAAATTTGGACCGGATTTTGGCCCAAAAACTCAATTTCAATTTCGTTCAAAAAATATAATATGTCCATTTTGACGAAATGACTGTTATCTGTACAGTTGTGGTGGGACTTTCTTTGTTGATTTATGGGCAGGATTCAAAGAATATTCAGCTTATCTATCATTGAAATTGACAAATGAAAATTCATTTTAAAACAATTAGAGTTTGATTTTTTTAAAGGAGGAATTTTTCACATCTTGCAACTGAGAAAGAGGAAGAACATGTATGAATTTAGGCATGATCTGTTGGGTTCCTATTTCAAGTTCCGAGCACAATGGCTGGTCTTTACCACTCTAGTCTACTAAACATGATCAGACTGTACAACTTGATAAAGATATTTCACAGAAAAAAATCTCGTACTATTCTTAAGGGTGTGGTTGGAAGGACATTAACATCTGTATGTGACTTTCGATGCTTAGCCCCTACGGTTGTCAAAGTCATATTTGACGATCGTATTCGAAAACCGTCTCTTATAAACCTGGCTAAATCTATTATTCGGCGACGCTGCAAAAATAGTTTTCTCTCCAACTTTCTGATTTCTAGGCTAAGGATCGTCTGGACCAGCAACCGATCCGTGGGTGATGTGCTCCACAATCATAGGATCAAGGTCAGATAATCCTGAAATGACTGCGTATGTGATGAACTTTGTAGTTCGTTCCCTAGGGATGAGGCAACCATATCCTGTTTCGATTTTCTGAATTCTTTGAAATACCCCTACCACTAAGGAATTCGAAGAATATTCTGCGTCCAACTAAGGAACAGTCTGTTGGGAGAATTAAGAAGGCTCTTTCTGAAGGACTAGCACATATTTCTAGTACAGATACGCTCCCCTGTAGTTCAAAAAATGTTCTTTCATGTTACAGTGTGAGGACTCGGGGTGAGTTTGTCTACGAGGATATTGCGCTTTCGTGGAGGAAAAAGTTGTGGGGATTGGTTGTGTCACCTATTGACCACAATATGGGGGACTCTTTAGTCTGCTGTCCCATGATTTATGAATATGCCCTCTAAAGTCTCTACTGGGGTAATGAGGGTTTTGAGATTGACAATTTGACACGAGAAATGAACAAGATATTCTACGGGTTTGTAGGAGTGCGTATTATTCTATTCAGGCTCACAGACTGGCTCCATGGAATAGCCGAGGGACTCTGGGTTCGGCGTATGGAATACCGAAACACAAAAGTCATTAGATGGAGACTCATTGCTCCCTCTTTTTCTGAACCAAGTATCCGGGCTTGCAGGATTACTTCTAAGACTATCAATGGACTGCTGTTGAGAATGCCGGAATCCAGTCATTTCAATTTCAAAAGTACCGACCTGTTGAAAGAAAGGATCGAGCTATTGAATCGGAAAGCGGGTAAATTTTCTGACGGAGTGTTGATGCCTGCTAGCTTCGACATTAAAAAGATGTTCACCAAGTTACCTCATAAACCTATTCTTTGTGCGGTTGAATGACTCCGTGATTTTTTCCTCGAAAAAGGACATTGCGCAATCCGAGTCAACAAGTCAGGAAAAGGCACCATGTTTGGAAAGAGTTTTGGCGAAAGCGGGTGGTGCCATGTTAAATTTTCAGCAATTATGTCATTCGTAAAGTTCGATTTGAGTCGTTCCTACTCCAAAGTGTCTGGGTTCATTATTAGACAAAGGGTAGGCATTCCTATGGAGAAAACATCTAGCCCTGCTCAGGCCTATCTTCTTTGCACATATTACAAATTTTCTTTCTTAAATTCATTGGGCAAGGACCGACGTTTAATTCATGGTATAAGGCTGGTGGACGATGTTGCTCTGTTTATTGTTCTCCCCAATAAGAGGATGGTGTCTTTTGCGAAAGCCAGTGAAATATACCAACGGTTGTTTCTCTCTATGACAGTAATCTGACTTTGATTCGTACGGATGAACAAAATGGGTTCTGGGAATTTTTGGGCTGCAAGATGGAATGCACATCTTCTCCACCGTTTGTAAGGTGCGAAGCATCTCCCAAGAATCAAGACACCATATGGACTGAAAAAGGAATGGTGATTCTTTCCACTCAAGATTTTTGGTCCTATGGGCCAAAATGTTAGAAGGTGGGGACTATGAAGGGCCAGATGAGTAGGGTGTTGACCCACTCCTCGGAAAATAGAGGAGTGGGTTTATTTCTTGTTTCATCAAAGAGGGAATTGAGGTTGAAGGGGTTCCTTGGGAATATTTTCTGAAAGCCGCAGGAGATTTTTAAGAAAAAAATTCTAACTGTTGGAAAGGGTGGGTTAGGTTTTTATTCGAAGGGTTCGCAAATATGAGACCATGAGTCGATTCGAGGAGCTCGGGACACGTTTTCTCACTATCGACAGATAATAAACGGTGTTGACCTAAACGACAACAACGGTGAGTTTCTAGATCGGCCCCCCATATCTCTCGGATTTTCGGTAGGTTTCAAGATCGGCTCAGCAAATCTCCCTGACTTCGATTGCGGACACTTCGGCCCCGACCTCCTGCAAGACATCTGAAATAATGGCGTGACATCTTTGTCTTCTTTTTTGCTCCACCGCCATGTTTTCACCCATGCCTCCCGCCACTATCTTGCCACCTTTGCTTTACTCCATATTTCCCTTACTTTGCCAACCATGTCCTTGTGTTTTCCAGCTGGCTTTCGCAGGTTGGATCTTCTAATCCTACTACCTCCTGCTCTTGTATCTCGATCTTCGGCCATGGTTCCTCTTCCCGCCACCTGGTATGACCCTGCAATCTAGCTCTTCAGTCCTCTCTTTCCCGCCTCCTCTCTATTTTTCTTTCTCTCTCTCTCTCTCTCTCTCTCTCTCTCTCTCTCTCTCTCTCTCTCTCTCTCTCTCTCTCTCTCTCTCTCTCTCTCTCTCTCTCTCCTGGGAACTTGGATTGAAGCGCCAAGGACGCCAGGGCAATACGGCGGGGTCTTTTTGCATTTAAGTATGCATTCGTACTCAGTTCAGTAGCGCAAAACACCTCCCCTGATGATGGTTGTGCCTCAGCTACACGACCACACATGTAGGCAGATATTGCCGCTTTGCTTCTGTGTCCGGCGATTTTTTTCATGAAGCAAGTTTTTTTTTGCGCTACCTCGTGTCTAGTTTTCATCTACTTTCTCTATCTCCTTTCCTTTCCCCTTCTCATCTACCCGATTCATGGTTTTGGTGCGTTTCAAGTCGTTGCTGTTTGCCACGCCCAGCTTCTGGAGCGTCGAGTCCGTAACCGGCCACAGGCCGTTTCGACTCTTTCTTGGCTCACGTGTTCTGGACCCCGAGCATCAATTCTGTTTTTTCGAAAAGCGCGGGAGCGGCCAATTTCCACGTTTAACAGGAATTCAATGGGATTTTTTCAAATTCAACGGGATTCAACGGGAGTTTAATTCCCTCGTTCCCCGTTAAAAAGACACACAACTCTTCCCCTCCTCCCCTCTTCCCCATCCTCCTCTCCTCCTCCCCTCCTTCCCTCTCCGTCCCCATCCTCCTCGCATCTCTGTTTCTGTCCTCCTCCCCTCCTCCCCGTCGTCCCC